CTACTGTCGAGGTGTAACTTCCATGGACTGCCTGAACGTCTCTGTGAGATTGTTGCAGTTCCATCTTTGTTAAATTTTTGTACCACTTTTGCTTAAGTATTCTGACTGATCAGTAAAGCTTTGCTGATCTCCTTGTAGCCTTCCTCTTTCTTCTGTAAAGAAATTCTTTCTCAGGCCTTGTGACATTTCTCTTCCATGTGGTGCCATTGCTGACAGCATGAAACGGGAAGGGGTTTTCTTTAATCACTTGCCTATAGGGCACTTTTACCCCCTTCCTACCCAGTCCAATTTTCAGCTTTCAGCGTTGTCGCATTTGAATGACAATTGCATGGTCATGCAACTTTGTACCCATATAAAAATTTTATAGTTTTTTTTTTTCTCACAAATAGAGCTTTCTTTTTGTGGTTTTTAATCGCCACTGGGTTTTTTTTTTTTTTTTTTTTTTTTGCATTATAAACCAAAAAGGCCGAAAAATTCTTTTTCTATTATAAAATTTTGCAAACAGATAATTTTTTTCCTTCACTGATGTGCATTGAGGCTGCACTGGTAGGCAGCACTGATGAAGTGGCACTGATGAGGCGGCATTGTTGGGCATTGATGAGTAGGCACTGATGCTGCACCGATATGCAGCAGTGATGGGCACTGGTGGGTGGCACTGATGATCGAGGCACTGACAAACCATGCCCTGTTTATCCGTGCAGATCTGCTCTGTGAGATTTGCCAGCTATCGGTGAAACTTTCCTCACGCTGTGACATCATGAAAAAAGTGCTGCCGATATCCGGCAACTGCATTTACTTTGTGTTCTGCGGTGTCATTGGACATAGCTGGTCACGTGGTAAAAGGCTGCTGTGATTGGCCTTTTACCTAGTCATGTGATCAGCAGAGTCCGTAAGCCACAGCGATCACTGACAGCGCCGGGTGCACGCCACGGGGAGCTCTTTCTGGCAGAACGTCTTATGACGCTCTCCCAGAACTGGACAACCGCGCTGCAGCCATCATTCGGCTATAACGCGGTTGTAAAGTGTTTAAGTAATGTCCTTATATAATCATCTGTCTGCTGGACACCTGCTTAATGAATAATTACTCGCCTAGTTAAATTCTTTTCACTGGAGTGTATTCATTTCTGCAACACGGTCTTGAATGAATTTATTAGGAGGAATTATTTTCCGTGTGTGCAAATTCACAAATCTTGTTTGCAGTCAGTGGTCCACATTTGTGAGGGTATTTTGTAGTATAGAGTTCCATAGAAAATGTTGGTTCTGCAAGGAAAGTAAAGGTTTTCTAACAAATCTGTTTGGGTGTACTTATTTATTCTGAGCACTCCACTTAGGCTATTCGGTCTTTGATTTTTCTCAAGAAAACATTTGCAGAAATACCACTGCTTCCAAACAGAGTATGGGTACAGAATACTTACAGGGGACAGGCTTCTCCTTTTCTCGTGTGGTTTTTTTTTCTAACTTGTAAGGGCGTTTTTCACACTAGAACAGTGACTTGTGGTTTTCTGTACTGGAAGAGCACTAGTCACCTCTAGGGCACTTAGAAAACAGCAGTTTTTTCTATGTGAACAGCTCTCACTGTAACACAGCCTTAGGTGAGGTGCAATAATATGCAGACACGGTACATAATATCACACCTAACTGGATGAGGGCATCTACACTGCTCAAAAAAAAATTAAAGGAACACTTTGAAAACACATCAGATCTCAATGGGGAAAAATTTCATGCTGGATATCTATATTGATATGTACTGGGTAATGTGTTAGGAATGTAAGGATGCCCCATTGTTTGATGGAAATGAAAATGATCAACCTACAGAGGACTAAATTCAAAGACACCCCGAAAAGCAAAGTGAAAAAATGATGCAGCAGGCTAGTCCATTTTGTTAAAATTTCATTGCAGCAACTCAAAATGGTACTCCGTAGCTTGTATGGCCCCCACGTGCTTGTATGCATGCCTGACAACGTCGGGTCATGCTCCTAATGAGATGATGGATGGTGTCCTGGGGAATTTCCTCCGAGATCTGGACCAGGGCATCACTGAGCTCTTGGACAGTCCTGAGGTGCAACCTGGCAGCGTCGGATGGACTTAAACATGATATCCCAGAGGTGTTCTATTGGATTTAGGTCAGGCGTGTGTGGAGGCCATTCAATGGTATCAGTTCCTTTATACTCCAGGAACTGCCTGCATACTCTCGCTACATGAGGTTGGGCATTGTTATGCACCAGGAGGAACCGAGGACCCACTGCACCAGCGTAGGATCTGACAATGGGTCCAAGGATTTCATCCCGATACCTAATTGCGGTCTGAGTGCCATTGTCTAGCCTGTAGTGGTCTGTGCGTCTCTCTGTGGATATGCCTCCCTAGACCATCATTGACCCACCACCCAAATGGTCATGCTGGATGATGTTACAGGCAGCATAATGTTCTCCAGACCCTTTCATGTCTGTCACACGTGCTCAGGGTGAACCTGCTCTCATTTGTGAAAAGCATAGGGTGCTAGTGGTGGACCTGCCAATTCTGGTGTTCAATGGCAAATGCCAATCGAGCTCTTTGGTCTCGGGCAGTGAGCACAGCGCCCACTAGAGGACGTCGAGCCTTCACGCCACCCTCATGAATTCTGTTTCTTTTTGTTTGGTCAAAGACATTCACACCAGTGGCCTGCTGAAGGTCGTTTTGTAGGGCTCTGGCAGTGCTCATCCTGTTCCTCCTTGCACAAAGGAGCAGAGACCAGTCATGCTGATGGATTAAGGACTTTCTACGGCTCTTTCCAGCTCTCCTAGAGTAACTGCCTGTCTTCTGGCTCTTGAGACTGTGCTGGGAGACGCAGCAAACCACCTTCTGGCAATGGCACGTATTGATGTGCCATCCTGGAGGAGTTGGACTGCCTGTGCAACCTCTGTAGTGTCCAGGTATCGCCTCATGGTACCAATAGTGACACTGACCCTAGCCAAATGCAAAACTATTAAAAAACAGTCAGAAAAGATGAGTAGGGAAAAAAATGTCAGTGGCCTCCACCTGTAAAACTATTCTTTTTTTGGGGGTTGTCTCACTGTTGCCCGTCTATGCACTTGTTAATTTCATTAACTGCAAAGCAGGTGAAACTGATTAACAACCCTCTCTGCTACTTAACTGACCAGATCAATATCCCAGGAGTTTCATTGACTTGATGCTGTACTCTAATTAGTGTTCCTTTAATTATTTTGAGCAGTGTATATTGTAGATAACAGAAGAGGATAAACAGGTAGCAGAAAATGCTTAATTCTTAGAGTATAAGTTTGCCTTTCAAAAGAATGTGCATTTATTTATTTTTTCGGGTAAAAAATGTGCATTTACTAATATTTTTTGAGGAGCCTATAAAGCATTGCACCAGGGCTCCTGCAGACTCAGTGTAAGCTGCCTGCTCATACATCGTTCGAGCAGACAGTTTAACACTGACAGGAAGAATTGAATAACTACATGTCAAAAGCCGCAAAAGATGTCAGTGTTTGTAGTTTTCACATTCACTGAACTCTGTGAAAGAGTGGTGCGGCCAGGTGGGTGGAGCCCTGCGCTCTTTTCAGAAAGTGACAGCTGGTACAGGAACTTCTCCTCTTCTGTCACAGGGAGAGAGGGGATCGTCGAGTGGCTGCATTAGCGGGATGATGTTACGTGGTTCACCCTAAAAACAGGTGGAGTATGAACTCTTCCTTTAAGTTTTTGTTTGATGGAAAAAGTAGACTTTATGTAGTGCCAGTTGGTGTCAGTCACCCACAGGGGTATTCAGAGACCATGTCATTTTTGATTTGTCAAGTGTGAATTTTAGTGATCCACTTTTAAACATCTATAGAAGGACCTGTGTTTCCAGTTGAAAGCAATTTGGTTTGTCCAGAATGCAAGTTAACTTGAGGTGATAGGCTGCTGTTCTGGTCCGATGGTACATAATGTGCTCGCATGTTGGGGTGCAGTTCTAAATTAAAGTATATGTAAACCCTCACCTTTGTAAATCAACCCATTCAAATTAAAATAGAAATGAAAGGCTAAATATTTAAAAAAAAAAAAAAAAAAAAAAAAAAAAAACATTTTATACACATCACATTCCCTCTGTTCTCAGCTGCATAAGAGGTGTGGAAGGAGAAACAGCATGCACTTTACTGTCTACTGTAGGAGTTCACTGAACCAGGTTGCCCAACCCCCCTCCCCCTTGGCTTTGTCTCTCTGCTGAGCTTATCCCAGGAGAGTGTCAGGCTTACTGTGACCATCTGAAGAGTAAAGGCATCCAGGACTCCAGCTCCATGTGCTTTGCCCTCATCCTTCTCAGACAAGGGGGGAGAGATAACGCACCCGGCTGCATCTTATGATCTGTCCATGGCTCAGCCTGGTCGGTCCTCCTCCCAGTATGTGTGAGAGAAGAAAAGCCAAACTATGTACATGCAGCTTGTAATTACCGGTGGAACTGCCATGATTACTGATAGCTCCCCCATGTTCAGAGTGCCAAGGACTTCGGGGGTGAAACTGCTGGGCCCACCCCATGCGCCTAGGGTGATACCCTGTGCACTAAGACAGACATGGGCCCTGGTGGCCAGGCCCCTTGTGATGCCCCATCACACCTCTATGGGCTTCCCCATCCCATGGCAGCCCTGCCTCCGATGCTGGGACACACTCACCCCCATGTTGTTTCCACTTGCTGATTGCGAGCAGGTGAGTGGAAATTTTGAGGGCTGTACACAGTACAGCAGGCACATATCAGGAATATGAAATGTTGGGTTTAATGGCACCATGAGCACTGTGTGTTGCAGTAACAACATCTCTGAATAGTTATGTATGAATTCAGCCTTAATTTTCGTATTGCATGCATATTTCTTTCATGTGTATTTCTAAACTGTGGGTATACTGTACATTTACTTGCTCTTCTAGTTTGGTTTCAAACATTAAATGCTGCGGTATAGATTTCCACTGCTTTAATGAACTTTGTATTCTGAGATCTGCTGGAAACCTAATTATTTTTTTTTTCCTTTTCACAGCCCTCCTGGGTCATATTATCCGTTCGTTGTGGAGTCCGTCTTCCGTATCCTTGAAATTGCGTTTCTCAGTTTTATATATATTTTTTGTTTTTCTTTACTTTTTTTTTTCCCATTTTTTTTTTCTTTGTGTTCACAAATGTTTGACATTTAGGCTGTATCACATGGGTGTTTGCAAGTATAATCTACTTATTAAGGTTATTTGGATGTACATATTGTATCTGCTATTAAATTTGGTTTAGTCAGATCTTTGCTCTATTTCTAAACTATGAAAATAAAAACAACTGGAATGTAACTAGTTGGTGAGGCACTTTCTGGGTGAATTTTTTTTTTTTCCCAACATAATGCTCCAAATAAACAGAACCTTGTATTAGGCTTGAACGGTGTTGCAGTTAATGAAACAAATGAAAACCATGCCCAATAATGGGAATCCCATATTAGTCTGGGGATTAGTCATGTGGCCAGAGCCACGAATAGGTCACATGATCTCTGCCAAAAGACCTTGCAGAACTGGTGAACAGAGACACTTCTAGCATAGCTACTTGGGCCTTAGTCATGTTGTCTCTATTGATGGTAAACAATAATTACGTTAGTCCCCTAAAATCTGTGCATCGATGAATACCTGTTGGCATTAGATAACTAAACACCAAAACCAATGGGGATTGCTGAATTTTTTTTTCCCCATTATTCCTTACTAGCTGCACTTCAGACTTTTGTCCTCCAAAGAACATACCTTGTGCAATGCCAAGAAGTATTGTTCATTTACTTTCTGGTCGTCACACTGCATGATGCTTCATGTCTAAGCAATCCATCAGTAACTAGCTGTCAGGCAACGTGCTTGTAATTCTTAGCACCACATGGGAATTCCAATATTATTGATGGATGTTACCAAACAACAGCTGCATGCTAATACAGTTTGCCAAGTAGTGCTCGCTACCTGTGGCTTGGGGGAAATGTAATGCTAGTGCAAGCTTTAGTTTTTTAGATTGTTGTGATAAAGTGTGGGCTGATAGGCTGCCACCAGCAACCAGATAACTTTTCCTTTTCCAGGTGAGAGTAACAAAAAAAAAAAGAGCCTAGAAGTTTGATCTACCTAAATGTGGTAGTTCCATACATTTTGGTATATCAAGACAGTAGCTTAAGGTAAAGTTTTGCATGTCTCTTAACAAATCAAATATTTTCACAATATTTAAAGCTTTCCTTAACAAATAAATCTCAGAGAAAATGGATTTTCTCCAGAGTCTGGTCAAATATTTTTTGGTGTGACTGCTTGCCTTTCACAAGTATGTTTGAAAATGAATGTCATTTTAGATGATGCATTTACCAAAAGGTGCACAAATAAATAAATGTAGAATTTGAGAGCGAATTTAGCCAGCCAAGGGCACACTTTTAGCCCTTGTTCACGCAGGCTTTGAAAAAATGCAGCTGGATTGTATTTTTGCTGCTTCTGATTGCCCATCAATGCCACTCTGTTATTAAAACAGGAACCAGATGGGGGAGTACCCACAGAAACATTGACATTTCCTCACTTTGTAGTGAGGCAGAAATAGATGCCTGCAAATTTCTGCAGCTGCCTCCATTCACTTCTATTGAAATGCACTGTAAATGTGCCTAAGAAGTTTAGGGCGCTGTTGCATAGTGTCAACATTGATCTTTTCAAATTTTGGCATTGTAGAAAATAAAATGACATCTCACAAGTTGTTTGAGGAACACCTGTGAAACATGTCTGAAATGTTTATTAACACTATAGGCGCATTTAATGCACATCAAAGGCTGCTTTACAATTCAATGCCCATGTGAACCTAGCCTGAGCAACTGAGCAGGCTTGTTTCATTTATATTTTAGTAGTTATTTTAAATAAAAATGAATAGTATATTTTACTGGGAAAGATTAGGTAGCTGTGTACTCTATTTGCTATTTTACATTTTGGTTTGGTAGGATAGAGGATGAATATTGGGCCGAGTGGGATGAGTAGTGAACATAACATTAATAAAAGAAGGAATGGGGGGGCGGATGTATTATGTTTGGCACAGCATGGCCTACGAACACCATTGTGTCCAGGTCCATCATACTGGTTTTATTACTTTTTTGAAGCTAGCTGCACCTATATAAAACCCTAGTAGCCTAGATTTTTCTCCAGGGATTTGTTCCAAGCAAAATGTATTAGTCATTTTTTTTGTCTTCTACCTAGTCCATAAGGTTTCATTAGTATTACATTTAATCTGTGTATAGCACTAATTGTCAGCTTTTGTTGTCTTTTGCCATCCTCATGTGAAAGCATTGCACCAATCCCCATCATTATACTTCCTTTGTTTAGATATCACCTGATGACAGAAATGCTCTTTGGGCTCTTATTACTTTTTATGGTGGTGACTGTCAGCTAAGCCTCAATAAAAAGTGCACTCATTTAATTGTTCCTGAACCAAAAGGGGTAAGTGTCATGCAAACTACTTCAATGTGTAAAATTTGGTTAACACTGTTTAACTTGAAAGATAAGTTCACCTTTTGCAATACGTTACATCTTACACCCATATCCAGGGTGTAACATGTTACGAAAGTACCAGCCCCCGCTCCCCCCATTGTGACAGCTAGTGGGGAATCTTCTCCCACTAGCTGTAACAATTTAAAAAAAAAAAAAAAAACATGGCCGTGCATGGCTCCACCTGCCCAGCTTTCGTCAGCCATTTTGTGAATGGAAAGACTACAAGTTCCAGCGGCCTTTACGGCTGTCAGCTTGTAGTTCTCAAAGAACTACCACAGCGCTATTGAGGTAGTTCTACCTGTCAGAGTATCTGCTTGCCTGTGCGGGGTACGTTCACACAGATACATTGACAGGTCTGCAGGAATCCTGCATGGCACCAGTGATCTGCTGATCACTGGTACAATACTTTCCAGGCTTCCAAAGCAAAAAATAGGAAATGCACATTTTTTTTTTTTTTACCTGTAAAATAGGTGCATTTATTATTTTGTTTTGTTAAAAGGTGAATATCTCCTTTTAAAGTAATTGGTAGTTATACTGTATGTTGTGTGCTTATATACTATGTTTTGTTAATCTGAATTGTAGCTCTATGGTAATAAAAATACAGAGCATCACTTGGCTATAAATGAATCAGTATTTCTTCCAGAAATCATTGCAACCGTGATAAAGTCAAGAAGTCAACTAAGTTTAATTTAATCTGAAGTTTATCAAATTCAGACTATTCAGCAGGCTTTCTTTAGTCCTCATAGGTGGGCTTTTATTTAAGGACAGGCTGTAGTGAGCTTAGGTGGCGATAACTGAATCATGAAGAGCACTGGCCTGCATTATGTGTTCTCAGATTCATAAGATTAAGATTCAACTAAAGGGATTTAGTTGTAGAATATATAACTTTTTATGGGAAATAGACATTCCAAGTGTATTGACACCAGTGCATGTTATAAAATGTATTGTACTGGGACTAATGTACATTTTTGAGTATGTGGTTTCCGCTAGGTTTTCCTTTTTGAGTTATGGTTTATGTAGACCTTAGTCTGATTTACAATTTTGTATCTGTAGACAAAGTATGAATATGCTTACCAGAGAGAGAACATTAAAATTGTTGCTCCAGACTGGGTTTTGGATTCAATATCTGAGAAGACCAGGAAAGATGAAGCACCTTACCACCCACGTCTTATATTCTATGAAGAGGAGGAGGAAGAAGAGGAGGATGAAGAGGAGGAGGAAGACGTAGAAGATCAGGACTCCCAAAATGCCAGTGCAGATGAGGATAGATATTCTTCAAAATCTAGTCCAGTGACATCACGTGAGCAATCTCCTACACCCAACCAGGAACGTTCACCAAAACGCAGTGGCACAGTGAAAGTTAAAGAGGAGCTGATGTTTGATGACTCTGATGACTCCTCCCCTGAAAAGCAGGAAAGAAACTTGAACTGGACTCCTGCTGAAGTTCCACAGGTGTCGACTGCAAAGCGAAGACTCCCCCAGGGCAAAGATTCAGGACTCATTAATTTGTGCGCGAATGTGCCACCTGTACCAGGGAACATTTTGCCACCTGAAGCTCGGAGTAATTTGCTCACGTCCATCACTGGAACTGCAGGTTCTGAAAGACCAGACATGATGCCTTTTAGAAGTCCGGCAGTGAGAACACTTAGAAACATTACAAACAGTGCAGAGATACAGCAAATTAATCGACCCTCCAATGTAGCACATGTAAGTATACACTTTTTTATCCATTTCCAGTTTTTGTATGTATTTTGAACACTTCATTAGCATAATAGTTTTGTTACAGTGTAATATTTTTTATTAAACTATTATACAGGATTTATATAGCGTCAACAGTTTGCTCAGTGCTTTACAATATAACGGGAGACAATACAGTTCAATACAAGAGGGTTAGGGGGGCCCTGCTCCTTGGAGCTTACAATCTAACTAGCTAGCTGTATGTCTGTATTTTTCTATTTGTTTTCTGCAGAAACTTGCTATATGAGGTGTGTAAAATGCAGGTTTGTCTACAAAATAACTTGGTGTTGAGGTAAACGTTCAGAGTTTTTAGAGACTGAGCATCATAGAGGAACAACCAATTTCTGCCACCTTGTTCCTTTTGCATTTAAATGCATAGTTCACTTTTACCAAAACACTATCCATGCATATAAGGGACATCTGTAGATAAAACGAGCCGGCATTTGAATATCCTTGCTATAGGTGTAAAACTCCCAGGGTGTTGCTAAGAAATCTAACTGTTACTGCTCATCACAGGAGTGAACTTTTTCTCTGGTCCATATCCCTTCTAATGCACTTTCTCTCCCTGCACTAGCTGTCAGTCGGAGAGAAATTTGAACAGTAACAGATGGGCCACTCTTAAGCTGGCCATAGATGGATCGAGATTCAGCTAGTTCAGCAATGGCTGGCCAAATTTCAATCAATCTAAGGCCTACACACTAGAGAGAAGTCTATCTAACAATCAGCTTTTTTTGGACGCGAATGTTGGAAATGTTCCATTTGCTCAACGTTGCAGCCTGTCAGCTGCAGCACTGATCAGTGTATTCTGACAGTGGTGGAGTCCCTGTGTCAGAATACAATAGCGCAGCAAAGAGGATTCTTCATCCACCTCGAATGTGTGGAAGGGGGAATCCACTCGTGTTTTTTTTGTTTTGGTTAGCCTCCTGGTCATCTATAGCCAGCTTTGGCAACATCCTGGAAGTTTTCTTGTCTGGTTTCATGAGGTACATAAATGGTTTACACCTATAGCAAGGGCATTATTCAACTTTAGCCCAAGCTGCAGTTTATCTACAAATACCCATCATTACCATAGGCAGTTTATTGGTAAAGGTGAACTAACCCTTTAGGGACTTCAGACCTTCCTGATCTGTATACTCTTGCCACATTGACTTAGTCTGTTTCCACTTTTCCAGTCATATTTCAGAATCCTGCAATATGTTTCTTTTCCCATGCACACAGCATAACTAAAGATTTTTTTTTTTTTTTTTTAAATATTCTCTTTTAGATCTGTCTTAGGAAATGTCTTTGAATGCAAGCATTTCTCTGCAAGTTTAGTGTGATCTGTCCCAATAGGCTGAGGACAGTTCTCATTAACATGCAATGCATGAGGCTAGTTTCTAAATATTTAACCCTTTGTTAGGAGAGACAGTGTTCAAATTAGTTTACAACTAATAAGATCTGCCTGTGTACATACTGGGTTAATAATGGAAAATGCAGATCTGCCTGTGTACCCTTGATAATAGAACAAATGCTATCTCTATAGCCCTCTGATAATAGAACACTAAGTTATCATGCGCACTGGATGTTTTTACAGCGGCTGTTTTTGGCTTTTGAGGTCTTTTTCTACAGCTAGTAAACTCCCAGCATGTTATTCTTTGTGTCCATGCACACATAGACTGTAATTAACGCTTTTTGGCTGAAAAAAAACCCAGAACTAGTGGGTTTCAAGTGGAGCTTTTTAGCTGTAAAAACGCTCTAATGCTGGAAAATGCGGTAAATCGTGGCAAACCAGCGTTTTTGGACTTTTTTTTTTTTTTTTGACCTATAATTTTTTTTTTTTTTTGGTAAAAATGAAAAACCGCAAACTCTGCTAAACGCTAATACAAAAACTCTAAAAAAAAAAAAAAAAAAAAAAAAAAAAAACACTGAAAAACTCACTTTTTTTAACCTGACCAGCATTATTAAAACGCCCAGTGTGCATGGAGCCTAAAGCTGCCCATAGATAGATTGAGATTTGGGCAGTCCCTGCTGAATTGGCTGAATTTTAATCCATGTATGTGCACTCTGGTTGTACAGAAGTCTATCAACTGCCCTGCTATAAGATTACCTCTAGATCCTGCACTGTAGACTGCAGCTCCAATCTGTGTTCTGATGGCAGGAAAGTCTCCCCACTGTCAGAATACAATAACACAGCAGCACGATTCCTCCATCCAACTCAAATGTATGATGGGAAATCGGGTCAGTTTTTTTGTTTTTTAACGCATGTTGTATTTCCACTAGTTCATTCATGACGTTTAATGAAAAATAGCTTGTTGTTCGTGACCTGTGTCTTAAGCTCACTCTTTGGGGTTTTGCTTATGTTGCTTTACTGCAATGTAAACCAGTAAGTCTCACATTTAGAAGGGCTGACTGTTTACAAGCTGCAGGGTTTGTGAATGAATTATTACAGTATGAGAGCGCTCATCAGCGCCCTTGCATTCAGAACTACAAGTGGTCAGCCACAAAGGCTGACACAGATTCTGTGAATGAATGATGCAACCATGTGGGCGGAGCACCATGTGGCTGCGCTGTTTTTGAATTGTGACAAGTGGGCATAGGGAGAAGATCCCTCACTCGCTGTCATGAGAGCAGGATCGGAGCGAGTGGCGGCAAGAGTTGGAAATTGTTACATGTTCCAGTCTAAATACGTGTGGAACATGCAACATGTTGCAAAAGGTGAACTGAACGAGTACTGTGCCTGTCTGCAGCAGCACTTAGCTTCTCTCCCTCTCTCATTGGCCTTTTTCTGATGTCTGTGCTGTGTGGGTCTGTGGACACACACAACCTGGCTCAGGAGCATGCCCACATGAGTGCCCCCAAAGCGGCTTGCATGTGGGAACTCAGAAGAGGAATGGAGAGCTTTGGCAGGATACCCCAGAAGTCCAGGGTGGCTCTGTGCAATACCATTGCACAGAGCAGGCAAGTGTTACATGTTTGTTATTTTAAGAAAAAGGTAATTTATACCTTTTTTTTTTTTTTTTTTTTTTTTTTTTTTTTTTTTTTGTGACTGCTTTAACTAAGCATATAGACCTATCTCACTCCTCAGAGTGAAAGGGAACCTAGTGCAGCGTCTGCACCTAATTAACAGAGGGAATGCGGCAGTTTTCTGTAAAGAAAACTGCCGCAGATCATCACCAGCTCCGAGCTGGCATACAGAATGTGAGCTGTCAGCAGTGATCACGCTACACGAACAGAGCCTGCAGGGTTAACAACCTCCCCCTTCTGTTGTGAGCTTGAGCAGGGGGTGAGGATGGACATAGAGATAAACATGCAGCCCCCCAGCTCTTCTGTTCTCTTTGCTGTATGTCATAGCCAAATCAACAGAGAACTGATTGCTCCTAATTAACAAAGGGGCCTGCGTCCTTTTTTAATTAGAAGCAGCATCTGCTGTTCTTGATGATGTTAGGAGAGTGGTGCAAGTAGTATTCAATTCCCCCCCCCCCCCCCCCCCCATGTCAATAAACCCAAAAGCTTTGCGCTGTGAGACTCCCAAATAAAATTGATCAATTGTTCTCTTCGTTTTTGTAAAAGCACTGCCATTGACACAAAATACCTGGTGATTCTGCCAGTTAGTTATGTTTCCTTATTCCTGGAGGCAACATTCTGCAGGCTGATATTCCCTATGCAGAGTTGCCACACGCTTGGCATGGGAGATTTGGCTCAGTGAATTAAAGCAGCTCCTCCAGTAAGCCTTGCTGTTCTATTAGGGATTATGGCATTTTCAACTGAGAAAAACCCACCTTTTATTAAGTTTTGTTTATTTCTGATTTGACTTGCTTTATTTCTGTTGAAGTAGCAATAAAGCTTTTTGAAATTTCTTGTTTCTGCTACTTTGCTGTGATTTATGCAAAGATTAATTAGTCTCCCAACCTATATGCCTAAACATGTTCTGGAACCACTTTTTTTGCTTCAGACCCATGGTTTCTGTACATGGTTTGGTTTGTTTGCATTTTTTTTGTTTACTCTGTATGCAGATTTTCTCGTTTTCTTGCTTTAAATTTGGCGGAAATGTTTGTAGCAGGCCTGTCTGCTGAAATTTACATAGCTTTTGTATCAAGCTTTTTCTTGTATATTCATATAGATTTTACAAACCCTATCGGCCTCTACCAAAAGTTTAGAACAACAAGGTAACCATCCGCAGCAAGGGCATCCAAACGCAATGTTGTTCAGTCAAGTAAAATCTTTAACACCAGAAGCGCAACAACATTTGTTACAGCAACAGTCCCACCAAACACAACCACAACAACAGCATCATTCTCTGGTGCAACTTCAGCCTCAACAGCTTATGCAACTGCAACAGCAACAGCAGCAGCAGCAGCAGCATCAACAACAAGTAACTCAGCAAGTGTTCCCACAGCATCAGTTTTCACAGGTGAATCAACCGCATCACTTTACTCAGCTGCAGTTTTCTCAGCAACAGCTCCATCGCCCACAGCAGCAAACCATGCAGCACTTCCAGCAGCAGCATGTTCTGCAGCAGCAGCTTCAACAATTGCAGCAGCAACAACATCTTCAGCAGCAGCAGTCTCTACAGCAAACCTTGCAACAGCAGAATATACAACAGATCCTTCAGCGTCAGCAGACTCCTTCACAGCAACAGGCACTACAGCAGCAGCAGCAGTCACTGCAGCCAGCTATACAGCAGCAACAGACTCTTCAGCAGAACATGCAGCAACAGCAAACACTTCAGCAACAGACCCTTCAAACAAGCATTCAACAGGCTCTTCCACCAGGTGTGCAACAACAGCAGAGTCAGGTCTTGCAGCAGAATCTTCAACAGAGCATTCAGATTCAGCAGCAGAATATGCAGCAGATTCAGCACTTGACTCTTCAGCAAAAGCAACAATTACAGCAGCATGCTCTTCAACAGCAGCAGCAGCAAATTCAGCCCCATGCTTTACAGCAGCAAATTTCATCTCATACTCTGCAACAGCAGCAGATTCAGAACCAAGCTCTACAACAGCAGCAGATTCAGTCGCAAACACTTCAGCAGCAGATACAACCACAGGCACTTCAGGCACAGCAGCATCAGATGCAGGCTCAGACTCTGCAGCAGCAGCAAATCCAGACTCAGTCACAGCATCAAATACAAGCACAAACACTGTCACAACAGCAGCATCATGCACAACCGCAAACACTTCAACAGCATCAGATGCAACCACAGACTCTTCAACAGCATCAGCTCCAGCCACATAACATTCAGCTTCAACACCAAATTCAAACACAGGGTCATCAACAACACCAGATCCCATCACAAATGCTGCAACAGCAGACACTTGCCCAACAGCAGCTGCAGCAGCAAACTCTACAGCTTCAGCAACAGCAAATGAAACAGCAGCAAATGCAACAGCAGCAGACACTGCTGCAACAACAAATTCAGCAACAAACAATGCAGCAGCAGCAACAGATTCAGCAAGCAAGCTTACAGCAAATGCAGCAGTCACAAACATCACAAATACAGCAGACAACACTCCAACCACAGCAAACCCAGCAGGCAGCATTGCAGCAGCCTCCAATCCAACAGGCAGCTCTTCAGCAGCCTCCCTTGAACCAAGCAGTTCAGCAACAGAAACACAATCTCCAGCAGATTCAGCAGCAGATCCAGCAGCAGCAACTTCAGCGATTACAGCAGCGACAAATGCAAAATCAGACGCAGCAACAACTAGGTCAGATGGCCCAGCAGGTGCAACCTCAAACAACTAGTCAACCACCCCAGACTCAGCAGCTGCACGGCCATGACCCATCTTTGGAAAGTAAGTTGAGCATGTTTGTTGCAAAATTTCAGGTTTGATCTTTTGTTGTGAACTCCAGATGTTTTACTGATTAAATATTTTCTCTGTTAATTTTTTACAAGAGAGGATTTGTGCTTGATGAAAAGCACATTCATGAGGTGAAGATCATAAATAGCAGTGACATGTAAAGCTTGGCTAGTCAGATTTCAATTTATAGCCTTGAAAAGTGTCCCCACATTAGAAAAGGATTACTAATGCTTTCCTGTGTTAAAGCACTTTACACATCACTCTGCCTTGTCTTACACCACAGTCTGCAGTGGACTGAGGAAATACATTTCCATATGTTTCTCCAATGCAGAGAGAAATATATTAGGAAAATTGGTATCAGTCTGCTGCAGATAAAAGCAAGCATTTCCTCACTTATGTTACCAAGTAGTCTTTGTTAAAGCTGAACTTCAGCTATGATCCAAATTACATACGTAAAGGGTAACTCCACTTTTATGTAAAATAAAATGTAGCAGATAAAAAAAAAAAAAAAAAATTAAATGTACCGGTAACTAAAGGCAGAACTTTAGAACACCTGGCAGCTTTTTATTGCGGTCTGTGCCTGTGTTAACCACTTGCCCTCCAGAGGATTTACCCCCCTTCCTGACCAGGCCATTTCTGCGATACAAAAAACAAGATATACCTGTGCTCAAATCCCAATAGCTAGTACATGCATTTATCCATCAGGTGCTAAAGGGGTGTAACCACATATTAACACTAGAAATTCTGAAGGACCCTCTGCACACTGGTATATACCCTTTCCAGCAGACTTTGCAATAAAGAATAGGGATATTTGGTTCACACATATTGCAATACATGTTATAGCTGGCCAACTGCGTCAAAGTAATCCCTCTATGGCCAGTCCTACTCTGCTCTGCCTTCGCAAACGCTACTGTGGACGCAATGCCAATATACGGGAAAAGACAAAGCAGGGGGGAGAGAGGTCTGGCTACTGACCCACATACAACAAACATTTCTGCGATGCGGTGCTGCGTTTACTTTAACTGACAGTTGAGCAGTCATGCAATGCTGTGCATAAATTTGCCATTTTTTTTCCCCAGAAATAGTTTTCTTTCGGAGGTATGTGATCGCCTCTGTGTTTTGTTTTTTTTTTTTTGTTTTTTTTTTTTTTATTATTTTTATAATATATATATATATATATATATATATATATATATATATATATCACATTTCCAACAGCTCTGTATGTAAATGCCTTGCACTTGATATATGGAGCTATACTGAGTACAAGACAATCCTATATGAATTGCTCATGCATTTGCAATATCAGTGGAATTAAAAAAAACAAAAAAAACTTTTAAAGATTTACCATAAAATAATTTGTGTGTATATATACAGTATAAAAAGGTAAAAACCTTAAAGCCATTTCTTATACATAAGTATACAAAGTAGTTCAGGTAATCAGCTGATGATGTATAGCCTAAGATTATAAATTCTTTTAGTTGTAGCATTTGAAGATAATGGGTTTACAAATGTGGTATGCTGACATTTTTTTTTTTTAACATTGCAAATGTCTTTCTCTCTTGCCTTTTCTCTTAGTTCCTGAAGACTACTTCTTGGCTGGCTGTGTGTTTGCAATCGCTGACTACCCAGAACAGATGTCTGATAAGCAGCTCCTTGCAACATGGAAAAGAGTATGTTTTGTTTTCTTTTGTTTTTAGTTAATGCTTCTTAAACTGGTTTTAAAGCCTCAAGGTTTTTTACCTTACTGCATTAGCTGCATTAGGTAAAAAAGAACCTTATGTCTAGCAGCCATTGGCTCCTGCTGCTGTCAGTCAAATCTTATGATGAGGGAGCAGAGGGCGGGGCAAAGCCTCACTGTCCTGTGACTAGGGACACAGCCAGCAAGGCTCGGGATTGAGTATACAGTGTGCAGCAGCCCCCCAGTACTCACCTGAGCCTGAATTCAGTCCAGCCATGTGCTCTCCATGTCTCTCTCTTCTCATTGACTTAGACACAGTAGCGGAAGCCATTGGCTCCTGCTGTTATGAATCACAGCCAGTGAGGAGAGATGGGGCCGAGCCACGCTCTGTCTTGTGGACACAGAGAGTGGGACACGTACCAGTGGCTCCATAGCAAACTATTTGCTATGGGGGCACTGCTCGGGGGAGGGGGGGAGAGGAGGATGATTGGTGCTGCTCTGTGAAAAACTATTGCACAGAGCAGGTGAGTATAACATGGTATCACTTTGTTATAAGAGAATCCCTATTACCTTCCTAAGACTGCACAAACATCCCTATGCAGTGTACATGTGAACCCTTAGGGCACTTTCACACTATTGCGGTGCAGTTTTCCTGCACCATGGGTGCAGCGCAACTTACCCGTATGTTTGTAACTGGTTAGCTGCGATTCCATAGAGTTCTATTGTGTCCTGTGAGTTTGGTGCACTTTCTGAAAGCACACCAAAACTCCTGCACGCTGCATCTTTGGTGCGTTTCATAAAGCACACTAAACACGGGGGTTACAATATAACGCTATGGTAAAACACAGCCAACACACTCCAATTATGCAGGTAAGTGGTGCTGTACCTGTAGTGGAAAACCGCACCGCAGTAGTGTGAAACTGGGCTTACTGAATGGCATTTAGTTTTATATTGTGAGAGCGTGTGACAGGGTGACAGCATAGGGACATTGTTGTCCTATAACACAAAGTAACAAATGTTTTTGTTGGATTACACTAGAAACTTTAAGCAAGATACACAAGACCAAAACCGCCTCTCTGCTGTTCTATTTGTACATTTCTAAAAAAAAATTTTTCAATCTTTCTAAAGATAATACAAACGCATGGAGGCACAGTGGACCCTACACTTACCAGTCGTTGTACACATCTTTTATGTGAAAGCCAAGTCAGTAGTATGTATGCCCAGGTGAGTTCTGATGTGGATTAAAACTGTTCTTCAAAAACTGCCCTTTTTTTAGCTTTATGGGTTTGGTACAAAAGGAATTTGTCTGTGAAGTCCTATATAGGAACGTTAAAATAAGAAAAGGTTAAGACATTTAAATATGGAAGAATTAGATTCCTTAAGTCAACATTTTTCATTACCAGCTGATTTTTTTTTTTTTCTTTAATATATATCATAAAATATATAGCTGTTAGGAGTTTTGTAATTTCCTCTTCAACGTAGTAAGTTGAAATTCTTTAAAATGTATTCCTTTTATAAAGCTGAGTTCTTTGGTTCACTCATAAATAGCTATGAAGGAAAGAAAACGTTGCATCACTGCTCATTGGCTCAACACCGTGCTGAAAAAGAAGAAGATGGTGCCGCCACATCGTGCTCTACATTTTCCTGTAGCATTTCCACCAGGAGGGAAGCCATGCTCTCAACATGTAAGAAAGCAATATAATGATACAGTAATGGCACTCTAAACTGCAGCAATTTCGGTTTCATGCAGGAGTATGTTTGTTTTTCTAAGTCATGTTCTCCCACCAGGATTTTTAGTGAAAGTGAAAATACACTATATTGCCCGAAAGCATTGGGACACCCCTCCAAATCATTAGATTCGGGTGTTCCAATCACCTCCATGGCCACAGGTGTATAAAATAAAAGCACCTAGGCATGCAGACTGCTTCTACAAACATTTGTGAAAGAATGGGTCGCTCTCAGGAGCTCAGTGAATTCAAGCGTGGCACCGTAATAGGTTGCCACCTGTGCAATAAATCATCTGTGAAATTTCCTTGCTACTAAATATTCCACGGGCAAACTGTTAGTGGTACTGTAACAAAGTAGAAGCAACTGGGAACAACAGCAACAGGCCACGTAAAATGACAGAGCGGGGTCAGTGCATGCTGAAGCTCACAGCGTGCAGAAGTCTCCGTCTGTCAATAGCTAAAGACCTCCAAACTTTCTGTGGCCTTCAGATTAGCACAACAGTGCATAGAGAGCTTCATGGAATGGGTTTCCATGGCCAAGCAGCTGCATCCAAGCCTTAAATCACCAAGTGCAATGCAAAGCGTTGGATGCAGTGGTGTAAAGCATGACACCACTGGACTCTAGAGCAGTGGAGATGTCTTCTCTGGAGTGACCAATCACGCTTCTCTGTCTGGCAATCCAATAGACGTGTCTGGGTTTGGCGGTTGCTAGGAGAACGGTACTTGCCTGACTACATTGTGCCAAGTGTAAAGTTTGGTGGAGGGGGGATTATGGTGTGGGGTTGTTTTTCAGGGGTTGGGCTTGGACCCTTAGTTCCAGTGAAGGGAACTCTTAAGGCGTCAGCATATCAAGACATTTTGGACAATTTCATACTCCCACATTTGTGGGAAAAGTTTGGGGATGGCCCCTTCCTGTTCCAACATGACTGCGCGCCAGTGCACAAAGCAAGGTTCATAAAGACATGGATGAGCGAGTTTGGGGTGGAGGAACTTGACTGGCCTGCACAGAGTCCTGACCTCAACCCGACTGAACGCCTTTGGGATGAATTTGAGCAGAGACTGCGAGCCAGGCCTTCTCGTCCGACATCAGTGCCTGACCTCACAAATACGCTTCTGGAAGAATGGTCAAACATTCCCATAGACACACTCCTAAACCTTGTGGACAGCCTTCCCAGAAGAAATTAAGCTGTTATAGCTGCAAAGGGTGGACCAACTCAATATTGAATGGACCCTACGTATTAAGACTGGGATGCCATTAGAGTTCATGTGCGTGTAAAAGGCAGGCGCCCCAATACTTTTAGCAATATAGTGTAGTTACTTGGCAATCAAAGATTGCTCTAGTGTGACTGTTTGAGCAAAGATACCGAAATCCTGTCCCTCCCCGGCATCTTTCCTTACAGCTGTAGATCTCTTCTATCCACCATAAAAGTGTATAAGGGACTGGGTGGTATTGAAATATAGTAAAACTGGAAGATCAATATGTTCAAGTGTGTTGACAGAATTTATTGAAAATCTATTTTCTTGGCAAGCACCGTAAAATGCTGGTATTGGGACATTTTGATCTCATATTCCACATCTCTTAGTGAAACGTGGGGTTTTCAGATGTATTTTGCTGGTTTGTGTATATAGTTGGTTCAATATTTTTCATGGTGCATAGTGTTTTTTCTTTACTGACTTTGGAAATCAAACTTTTTAAAATTTGATTCAAAGCGTAAACAATACTACAGTCTTGTAAATTTAAGTAGTTTAATCTTAATTGTCAGGACCTGCAATTTAGTAGATCATACCGGATAATGTTGTGATGGAAGGTCGGAAAGTTCTTATTCTAGTGGTTTATTTTGCAGCCCCAGCTAAGATTATTTATTTATTTTTATTTTTTTGGAATATGGCACGTGAACTTGAATATGGTTTGACCTGCTCAGGATTTTTGCCGCCTTGTCTCCATTGTAAAGATTCTGTTCAAATCTGTATCTACACAGGTAGTAAAGGGAAGTCTTCTTGTGCATACACCAGTGGAATATTCATGTTCATTTATACAGAAGTCTCAAAAGAAACTTTTTGTGTAAACATGCATTTAGCATTTTGTTCTGTTTTCATAAGTGCTGTGAATGCTGAGATAGTGTGGTCGACCTTTTGTCAATCATTCCACCAAGGGTGTGGACATTTTTTTTAAAATAAACTGCTTGTCCAAGGGACTAAATTGGGGTCCCAATCTACTTGTCCTTAATGACAATCTACGTGTCCAGATAATAAATATGAAGGGTTGATGTGTTTTTTTTTTTTTTTTTCTATTAGGCATAGGTTTTTTTAGGAATGTCTGGGGCTTTAAAAAACAAAAGGGGCTTTATGTCAACTTAAACTTTTAATGTTTTTAATATTGCACTGTATCTCCTCTTCCCCTCCCTCCCTACCTGTCTCCAGCACTGAACCCCAGGACTAGCAGGCAGGGGAGAGACCTTGCAGTGTAATGAGCACCAATTGGGTGCTCGTCAGGAAAGGGGAGTGTCGGGTTCTTAGCTCTCAGCAGAAGCCAATCTGTTGAGCGAGTAAATCGAATGCCAGCCCTAGTGAAAAAAAAAAAATCATGTTTATTTCTTTGGGTAATCCTCGCACAAGACAGCACTTGGGTGCTCAGTACAAGTGCATACGGAGCAGTCAAATCAAGCTCCAGTGTCTGCTCTGGATGCAGTGTCTCCCAGGATTAGGCCGAAAAACCCCTTGGAAATTGTGGACTAGATCCTTCACAGTGGCTTCAGGTAAGCACCTAATGCAGACATTCTGCCGCCACTTGCGATTTTCATAGTCGCTAAATTGTGCTAAAAGTGATTCCATCATGCCTGCGGGAAGCAATCTCTCAGTTTTTCCATAGTATGAAACAAATTTTCCTGAACTGTTTCTAAGGTCTCCACTCAGTTGCACTTGAGTGCTGGTCTCGGCAGATCGGTGAGAGTCTGAGCAAGGTGCTGGTCCAGGCTCCTCGCTGGGTCCTGACAATATGGTTGCGATCTTTCCCCAGCCTGGACCAGCTGAGTGACGTCAGTTGACAGCAGGTCACCAGTGTGCAGAACAAATTGTATTCCTGTAATCCACAGGAGAAATACAGCCAAATGAGCTTTGGCTGTACTTCTTTAAATGAAGACTGCACAGTGGAATACAACTGCAGAATGTCAGCTTTAGTAGGAAGGGCTCGTATATGCTCTCTAATGTCCCTGTCTCCTGCAATGTCATCTAGCACTGAGCCTGCTGTAGAATTGTGTGGAGGCATGTGAGAGGGCTGGGCTGGTGCAGTGTACCTGGGCAGAGCTGACAACTTCTCCCTGATCAGAGACTGCTGGAGATGCAGGGTGGTCTGGCGCCATCTTGGATCCCCCTGTGTGTGGCCCAGAGAAATAGGAATCTAGGGCTCCAGATAAGTTGTGCGGGACTCAGGCTGGTGTGGATGGCGCCCGCTGCTTCCCTGGCATGTCTGCAGGTCTGTTTGGTGGCTTGCTCCCACGGTAAAGCCCGGAGTGAACAGGAGCTTTTTGGCTCTCTGACCTCACAAAGTAAACCCTGCTGCTTGCCTGCAACAGGGCTAAGTGTACAAAAACCCACTTGCCTGGAACCGCATGTCCTGGGTGTCAGGTGATAGGATTGGTACATCCCTGCTCCCCCCACTGCTGTCCAAGCATATTGCTCAGATGGAGATTAACTTGTTTTCTGAGTAGCAATGCACATAGAGAGCGTGGTGACAGGCAGATCACAATGCAGAACAGTTCAATGCCAGTAAGCACAGTTATGTGAGTTGTTCTGCCTTATCAGAATTCCTGTAGGGGAAGGAGGGGGGTGTTGGTGATAGAAGGAATGCAATATGTAGATGAATCACAATATTGAAATATGAATGTAGATTTATAGGTGTTGCACGCAGAGATCAAGTACCCAGGGTTACTGCAGCACCTCTTCCCAGCTAGTGCCATATAGTATAGAGAGGGAAGAGGGCAGGGGCTCATTCCTGTGATTTTGGCTCCCCCATAGAGCTTACTTAAACTGGGCTTCAGGCTAGGGTGGAGCTGACAGCACAACAGGGTCACAAATCAGAGCAGAATGAGGAGCTACACACACCTGTTATCCCTAGGGAATGCCACAGACTCTTGTAGCTTTTGTGATACAACTTCAACCAAAAAAAAAAAAATCAGAGTTTAGCCATATCCTTTTTGGCTTAAATTAAAGAAGTAATCAGTAAGGAGGTCTTATTTAATTTTTTTAACACCAATCATGCTCCATTTTACAGGAGAATCCTGTGTGAACATGTTGGTGGGAAATGAAGGAACCAGCTCTTAGATTGTAAGCTGCAAGGAGCAGGGCCGTCCTATCCCTCTTGTATTGAACTGTATTGTTGCTGTATTGTCTCCCGTTATATTGTAAAGTGCTGAGCAAACTGTTGGCGCCATATAAATCCTGTATAATAATAACAACCAGCTACTGCTTAAGTGCTGGCTAATTCCATTATGGCTAATCTAAGCACATGATCAAATGAGATTTTTGTTTGGTTTATAGAGCCCCTTTCAGGGTTACAGTTTCATTTGTTTTCTAATATCTGTTAGCACTACTATAAGTGACTCTATATTTTTATGCAGCTTTACCTCCTTAGTGTAGCTTTGTCAATTTGTGGGGCATACTGTTGTCTTTATAAAACACAGCAACGTGGCAAGTGAAAAAATAATCTCTTCCTCCCCCCTATGCTTTTTTTATGCGGCATATTTTTGCTGCAAGATGGGGCCCTTTAAATGCTGAACTGTTTTTTTCTTCTTGTAGAAATGGGTTTGTGTAATGATGATGTAAATGTTACACCTTTGTTCCCTTTCTAGATTATTTCGGTGACCGGGTTTGTTGATAGTGATAGAGATGACTTGAAGCTAATGGCCTACTTGGCAGGCGCCAAGTACACTGGGTATCTGTGTCGCAGCAATACTGTTCTCATCTGTAAGGAGTAAGTGATGGCTCTTCATACATTCTCATCCCAGTCTGAGCATTTCATATCCAAACTTTCACAAATGCCTCTTATATCATCTTGCTTTGACGTTGATGGGCAATTTTATCGTCATGGTCTGTGCCCTTAAATAGGATGTAGGCAGCGGCTTTTCACTGAAAAATATAGCAGCTGCTGCATTAGCAAAGCAAACTGCAGGGACAAGTGGTTTTAAAACTTACATTTAACTATTTAGAGGAGATTGGGTGTAACTTTCTATTTCAGTACTAGCGGTTAATTTCTTTTGTATTTCTGTAAAGCTTGTCTGGCCTTGTTCTTAACAGAAAGTTAATCAATGTGCTCTGTTTAGGCCTAACGGCATGAAGTATGAAAAGGCAAAAGAGTGGAGGATACCATGTGTAAATGCATTATGGCTCTGCGACATCCTTTTGGGAAACTTTGAAGCATTACGTCAGATTCAAAACAGCCGATATACAGTGTTCAATCTTCAGGATGCCCTCGCCCCTTCACCACATCTGGTTTCAAACCTCCTTGGTATGATTTATCTTCATCTTTAATTTAATCCTTTTTAATTTATTACAATACTCTGAGTGCAAGCTCAGCCCAGTTACTTAAAGGCTAAATTCACCTTTTTTGAAAAAAATAAATGTGCATATTTTTGCAAAAGAAAATGTGCGTTTATGATTTTTTTTTTTTTCAGAGGAGTCTGCAGAGCATTGCACCTGCCATCAGTAGATTGTGAGCGGAATGCAACGCTCCTGCAGGCAAGTCCTCCAGCTTTGTGCCTGTATCTCTGTGCGGGCTTTTTATTTATTTTTATTATATCTTTTATTAACTTTTTTTATTACAAAAAATCATTATTGTACCAATACAATTCACATATACATGAATTCCACATAAATTAACCTATTCCCCCCAGTTCAATTATGTACGGGCTTTTAGTTACAAAGCTGGAGGAAGTCTGAACTATGAAGCCTGTCAGCAGGACTTGGCTGTGCAGGTGTCAATTTTAAAATGATTGGATCGGAGGGGGTGGGGAGAAGCAGGAGCTGAAACATGTTGAACCCTAAATACGAGCGATTCAAGAGGCGAACCTATCCTTTAATGACAGCCGTGGTAGGCCTCTGCTGACCTTTGGGTTCTGGTTCTAATTGTTAAACCACAGCCCTTTTTGTTTAGTTCACATCAGTAGGCAGACTGAGTAACCATCTTGACTAGCAGAGAGGTGGGGGAGGATATGGGTTAACGTGCAGCCATACCCATCGCCACTTTATGCAGCCATATAACGACCTGGAGGAGCTCTGTCAGGTAAAGCCAGCACCCCGAGTAGCCAAACGTTTTTTTTAGTTCAGTGTCTGTTTTGATTTTGATGCTTTTTACATAGAGCTAATTCCTATATTATTTCTCTTGTGTTGACAAAATTTGTTCTGCTCACAGATGCATGGAGAATACCTTTAAAAGTCTCAACCGACGTGCTAATGGTAGGTATTTTTTTTTTTTTTTTTATTCAGTTCGTTATACTTTTTGTATATTTATATGTGAATCGGTGCATTATAGCATATAGACATAATATGAAAACTGTCTGTTTCTTGAGTTTGTTTATGGTATGCTTTCCATTTTTTGGGAACTGATCTTCAAGCCAACTTAAAGTGGACCTTTTGGTAGCAGTAGTAAGAGTCTGTAAGAATACTTTCCTGACACACCGCAGTATACAGCATCAGTATCATTTGTTTTTACAAATGTTCCATCTTTTATCATTAAAAAAACAAAGCATCCTTAAGTTTAGGTCAGTGGATGTAGTCTGCAGCTGGCAGGAGGAAGTACTTCTTCAGGCTCCTCTCCCCTAGTGATTAGTCTGCAATGTTGTAACTATTGCAAAGCGAGAGGCTGCGTCAGACATTTGTGAAAAAAAGAACTGTACAGATACCTAGATTTTCTGAGCTATAACAATATTAAATCAAGTGATATGTAACATAAAAAATATATGTGAGACTGCCAACATCCCATACAAAACCGTGAAAAGACAAAAATCCCCCTGGGACTTTAAAAGCAGACACAATATATGCAAAATCAAACTGTCTTAAAAGCAATATCCATGTTTATTGGTAGGTATATATTGATACAAGCAAAAAGACCGCATAGGTCCATAAAACCACATAAACCACGTGGGTTAGTTGGTGGTGTTGCATACAATCAAGTAACAATACAGAGTACCTATACTCTAGCAAATAGAGACACACCAACAGAAAATTGCCAAATAAGATGCGACTTGGTCAGTCGAGGTGTGGTCTTCAAAAATGTCCCGACATGTTTTGGAAAAATAATTTTTTATTTAGGGGAAAGAGTTTGGTATAGCAATACTACAATATAATAGGTACAGCATCAGTATACCACGACAGTTATTGTAAGGAACCATTTTTTACAGCGCATTGTAAATAGTAAGACCAAATGATGATGGCATGCGGTATTTTGAAATTGGGTAAGCCCTGTACCTTGATGTATCTTTGACACTACTCCTGATTGGATCCTTGTATACATATCCTTTACTTATCAAACCCCCCATCCATATCTCACTCCAACACTTTTGGTCTCTAGCCTTATGACCTGGCTGTGACATAAATGGTCCCAATTTGCTTACGGTGTTCTATTTATACTTTCATTGAATGATTGGATGTCTATACAACAGTGGGTTGGAGCTCATGGGATCCTTGTAGTGAGGTGGATGGCCTGAGGGTCTTCTTGGTGGTACCTGTGTGGGCCAACAGCAGCTCCATATGTATCACAATCCTGATTATAAGCTCCAGATGTCACGTGTACATATACGGAGGATGTAAGTATATTGAACATTTTTTGAAATATAATGCTTACATGCCATCATTTGGTCTTCCTGTTTACAATATGCTATAAAAAAAATGTTCTTTACAATAACTGTCGTGGTATACTTATGCTTTACTTATTCTATTGTAGTATTGCTATACTGAACTCTTTCCCTTGAAGGAATGATTTTTCTGAAACATGTTGGGACATTTTGAAGACCACACCGTGACTGACCAAGTCTTGGCAGTTTTTTGGTTGGTGTGTCTCTATTTGCTATCGTATATGTATATGTTGTTTCTTGATTGTATGCAACACCACCTACTAACCCACATGTTTTATGTGGTTTTATGGACCTATGCAGTCTTTTTGATTTTAAGACAGTTTGATTTTGCATATATTTTCTCTGCCTTTAAAGTCCCAGGGGGACTTTTTGCTATTTGTCTTTTCCCTGGATTTTCTGAGCTGGCATCTCAGTCCAGGAAGTAGATGGTGACCCTGTATAATGCCTGGACAAAGATGGTGCCATCCTGGAGAGAAAGACATCATTGGGTGGAGTACTCTAATATCTTTGAAAGGTAAAAAGTAACTGAAAGTTATAGGACTTAAGAAACTTTCCTCTCTAAGCAGCTTCTCTTCACTGCTATTTGAGCCCTCATAGCTGAAGGCAAATTGCAATCCACAATCACTCTTCAGAAGCAAAGAAAAGAGCAGCTGCATACAGGATAAATCAGACTTCCACATTTATTGTAGCACATCCACAAACATGGCAATGACAGTCCCCACCCTAGTACTGTGGGGGCGGTCCTAGCATGGGGACTGTCATTGCCATGTTTGTGGATGTGCTACAATAAATGTGGAAGTCTGTGGTTTATCCATTGTGTATTTGTTCTTAAATACCTGCAAGTGTTACGCATTACTTGAGCTTAACATGAAAACGCATCTTTTTTTTTTTTTTTTTTTTTTTTTTTCATAGATTTTAGTGAGCTTGTCTCTTGTGGTCTGTCTTATATTGTTAGAAGTCTATCCAGCTCATGTTTGAACTAACATGCAAAGTTTCATTTTATGTTACTACAATTTTGAATGTTTTGGAACCCTGAAACTCTGAAGTAGGATGAATGTGAAGCTTAATTTTGGCTTTGCTTTTATTGATTGTAATGTTCTTTTGTGTCCACATGTTTTCAGAGCATAAGAGTTCCCCTTAAACCCAAGCAAAATGAACCAGCTGTTCAGCCAAAGCGACCAAGGTAAATAAACATTTGTAGGTGCTGATACTGGATAAAATCCATTATTTAGTGGTGGTAAACTTTGGCATGCATAGCCAATTTAACCCTTTCCTGCCTACCCAGGGGTCCCTTTTTAAACAGTTGGGAATAGGTTCTTTGATCAGCAATCACAAAGGGATGCTAGTCCTGTCAGCTACCGATTTTTTTTTTTTTTAGCCCATACTCAGCGCTGGCTTAATATTTGTGCTAGGAGTGCACATTGATCATTCTCTGCTCATAAACATCTGCCGCCCAGCAACGCACATGTGCACTGTGTAGGCATGAAAGCCCACTGTTTTGCCACCGCACATGTGACGGGTGGTTGTAAAGGAGTTAATGCATATTAAGAATTCACTGGGCTGTCCAACATTATGGCTAACCTTTCATTTTGATTGCATGCTAGTGTTATTCTCTAGTCTTTTTACATGCAGTCCCCATTCTCTGCATAGGATTATATTCAGAAAATATTTGCCTTCCTGAAGACTGCATAAAGTGGGTTTATTTCTTAGTTTATATGCTCTGCTCAGTCTGTGACACATGAGACATCAGACATTATATGATAATTTTGTCAGGCTGGGAAGGAGGCGATAGTACACGTTGCACTACGAAACAAATCAGGGAATCTGGACTTGTGAGCTGCACAGAGAAATTCCCCAGCAGCAGTCAACATGCAGTGTAGGGAGAGTTTGTCCCCTACCCCCTGCATTTCCTGTCACTGCATTTGTCCCAGGCAAGCTCTTCAAAGCGGAGAGACATGAGTTGTTGCCGTGAGCACGCTGTCAACCAAGAGACTCCGCTTCCATAACACAGAAAGATGGGACAAACTGCTTTATTTTCCTTGTATCCTGGAGGATCAGGGCAACAGAAAATGAAGTGAGATGACTATGTTATAGACTGTCATCTTTCTGAGCATGTTTCATGTTACACCTGTATTTCGGGTCTACAACCCATGCCACCCCCCTCTTACAGGAGTGGAGGGGTTGGAGGGTGCGTCTCATTTTGAAAGTAGCATGGCCGTGTTAATCATTCCAGTGGCAGAGGGACTCGTAGCTCTCAGTAGAGCACAGATGCAATGACTATTTAGTGGATCACATGCTGAAGTACAGGAGATGTTAGAAAAGTGTTACTTTACTGCATACAAATTTGTTCTATTACTCAAAGCTAAAATGAAAGGATAAGTTCACCTTTTGACCAAAATTAATGAATGCACATTTTTTTGCAGGTAAAAAAATTTATATTTATTATTTTTGGTTGCAGGAGCCTGTGCCATGCAGGTCTCCTGCAGACCTATCAGTATATCTGCTTGCCCGTTTGGGATGTACAGGCAAGCAGGTATACTGACAGGAAGATTCACTGAACTACCATGGAACTCCACAGCGCCGTGGTAGTTCATTGAGCACTACAAACCGACATCCGTTAACGCTATCGGAACTTGTAGTTCAATCACAGAACACTGTGAATGACGTGACCGTGTGGGTGTAGCCCCTCACGGCAGCGCTGTTTTAAAAAGTGATGGCTTGTACGGGGAACTTCTCATACTTCTGTCACAGGGAGGAATGCCACAATGGGTGGAATGTGTAACATGTTACCAACGGACTGACAACTCATGGGGCCCCCTACTGACCTCGGGCAGTTCCCGAGTTTCCAAATGGTCAGTCCGTCCCTGGCTACATCTGAAACTTTCAAAAACATTGGCGCTGCCATTACTGACCGCCTTCAGATAATGCTAGTTACATGATTGCCAATGTGTTTTAGACTTTTAGTTGCTGACCCTGAACAAGCATGTTCCATGTTGAAGTCTAAAGTACTGATTTGCATACTTGTTCCAAGTGGCTTATCTTATTGAGGTTCTTGGTTCAGCATGACATCCAGCGAACTTGCATTATTAGTAACGGTAAGCAGTGACAGCCTATGTATTCCTTCAGCATAGACATAAGGGGGTTTATTTACTAAAGCTGGAGAGTGCAAAATCAGACTCGCTTCTGCATAGAAACCAATTAGCTTCCAGGTTTCATTGCCAAAGCTTCATTGAACAAGCTGAGGTTAGAAGCTGATTGGTTTCTATCCAGAAGGGAGTCTGATTTTGCACTCTCCAGCTTTAGTAAATAAACCCCAAGATGTCTGCTCTTACCTTTTGTTGGCTAGAAAAGCCTCCTTTTTCTCGCTAATTTTGTTTACTAGGCAATGACTGTACTGAACATTACATACTTAACGCAGTCTTAGTGTAGAATACAGTTTTTTACCTATGTATGACATACTGGTCTTTTTCAGAATTGAAGACCTTCCGCCTCCAACTAAGAAATTGTCCCCAGACATGACTCCTCATGTACTGTTTACAGGGTTTGATCCCAACCAAGTTCAGCAGTATGTAAAGGTAAGGACCTTTTCCCAAAGACTTGAGCACTGAATTGACTCCTGCTTTCACAATTAAACATTTACAAAATGCTAGCAGCATAAACCATGTTAAAAAAAAAAAAAAAATGCCTTCACGCTTAGTGTTTTATATTTTGTTTAAATGTTTAATGTTGGACTTTAAAAAAAAAAATAAATAAATAAAAACTTTGTTTTCAGAAACTATATATACTTGGAGGAGAAGTTGTAGACTCTGCACAAAGATGCACTCATTTAATTGCCAGTAAAGTAACAAGAACTGTCAAGTTCCTGACTGCGATTTCCGTAGCAAAGCACATTGTGACTCCAGAGTGGCTTGATGAAAGCTTCAAGTGCCAAAAATTTGTTGGTAAGGCATGATCTTGTATTGGACTATTCATCGATTTGGCCAATCAGATAAAACAATGTAGGTCTTGTGTATAGGAAAGTGTCTTAGAATAGTGCTTTTAGCTTAGTTTGTTATACTGATGAAAGATGACCTATGGCTGCTGTGTGTGGATTACTACATTACAGATTTCACTTTGATATTAATTTTTCCATTGAGTACCAGTTTTAAGTTATTGTAGTGTTAACCCGTTCATGTTTCGATTGAAAACCGTATGACAGATTGTAAAGATTATGAAAAACTTGATGGACCCTGTGATGAAGCAGAATGAGTCCTGTGTAGTGCGCCATGGCAAATGGTTGTCATGGTCAGTTTGTGCCGAACAGTGGAATTGACTGAAATTGGGAAGATTAAACCAATCCTTAGCCTAGTCGTTGTATACCTCATACCTATTCCACAGCCACAGTCTACTCACAAAATACTCCTAACTACTGTACACTAGTGACAGTCTCACTGACGCACCAACTTTAGGACAAAAGGGATTATTTAAAAAAAATTGTTTTTCAATGAGTGGCTTTTCTGCACACAAAATGGATATCACTTATGACTGAGCCTTAAAGGAAAAAGTCATTAAAACCAGCAGTGGTTTAGACAATGAACACTTTAGTCATAACTATGTAAAGTACAAAGAAGTGTTTTGAGTCAGCATGAGAGAGGGAAAGATGGGGGGGGGGGGGGGGGGGGGAGGAGGGATCGTTTGGTGTACAAAATGCCCGCTCACCAGATATGGCTGCCAAGGTTGGTCTCCCCAAGGCAGGCAGCATTGCAGAAAGCGACTAGGATCCAGAGCTGCTACGTGCCCTCTGTGTTCATATCTACCGCCTGCCCATGCCCACACAATGCCTTTCACATGCAGTGTTGCCATGCATTGCATGTGACACGTGTGGGGGGTGGCTGGGCAGACAGCAGGAATAGGGCCAGGAGGAAGAACAGATCTAACCTCCTTCCTGTTCATGCAGGAACTGTGCTGGGCAAAAGAGGGTCACAGACAGGCTGAAGTGATAGCTGCAGCCAGCCACCCTGTTTTCATGGACAGTTTCTCCTGTCCACAGAATTTTTACAGATGGGAGAAATCAGGTTGATTTTTTTTTTTTTTTCTTACACAATTCACCTTTATCAAAGTATTGTGATTGTGCCTTTCATTTAAATGATGGGTAAAAGCTTGCAGAATTCTCAAATCTTCTATATGAATTGGCAGAGTACATTAGAAACAAGGGCAGAGTTTGTGTACAGAGGCAGTACTCTACTACAGTCACATTTTGCAATGTATTTCATACAAAGTAAGGACATTATCATATGTAAAATATTGCTGTAGGTGTCCATTTCCCTTTAACAACACAATAAAGGTTTTCATTTTTTTCCTTCTATTTAGAGGAACAGAACTACATACTTCGGGATGCTGAAGCTGAAGTGTTGTTTTGCTTTAGCTTAGAAGAGTCCTTGAAAAGAGCGCGGGTGACTCCACTCTTCAAGGTAAGGGCACTTCTAGTAGTTGGAAATTCTGTTACAGATCTGTTTTCAAAATGTTTTGACTTTGAATGCTTTCTTTTATCCAGGTCATGGTATATAGCTAGTAGTAGTATCACTGGATCGACCTTGTTCTCTAATGTTGAAGACACTCAGCATTAAAGAAACTTTGAGCAGAGAAACATCTTCATTATTATAACACAATTGCGGATGAATGTTGCAAACTATGGCTAGCATTGTATTTTTTTTTTTTTTTTTTTTAATATAGTTTGAATGATGCCCAAACCAGGCTGTCCTTGCATTGTGGCTTAAACTGATCCAGTTTATTTTCAGTTATTAGAAGCCTGTAGGAACTGTTTAGCAGAATGCAAAGTTGCAAAACCCATCCTCTGTACTTAACGGTTGTTTTTAGCAGTGCAGACTTTTAGGGGTGACATCTGATTCACATTGCTTAGTTTTAAAAGAGCAGGCTTTTAGGAAGCTGCATGCTGGGGAGTCGGAGTGGGTTAACCCAAATATAGTACCAAGTTCTGTACTACTACTTTCTTGCACACAGATGTGTACATTTTAAACTAAGGGAGTAACTGGTAATATAAACATATTTGCATGACTAAGTTTATGTATTAATTGTATAATTATGATTAAAGCAAACCTGTATTAAGTAAAAAAAAAAAAAAAAAATGCAAAGATTAAAGCTTTTCTTATAGGCACCAAAAGGTATTTGCACATTTACAGAATACATACTCATTAGCAGTAGAGGTCTCAGGAAAACAGTACTTTTGGATATGGTGCACATATACACCACTGTATATATGTGATGGGTGCCTGGGCAGACATTTAGCTAGGCCAAGGACTTTCACAGCAGTGGGTTTAGTCGGCAATATTAAGGTAATGTTAAGGTGCTTGCTGTGTGGCTTTAGCTTCACTGTATAGATGTTTTCCTTACTACAGGTTCTTTTTGATTAAAACAATTTAGCAATTCAATGTATATACTTTTTATTTTATTTTTTTCAGGGAAAGTATTTTTACATTACTCCAGGGATCTGTCCCAGTTTGTCAACCATGAAATCTATTGTTGAGTGTGCAGGTGGCAAAATTTTAACAAAACCACCTTCTTTTCGGAAAATCATGGAGCACAAACAAAATAAAGTAAGTGATCGTCACGCCTTTCAGAGCTTCTGCCTCCCAAGAGTACCTTCTAATAAGAACTTAAATCTGAATTGGGGGGGGGGGGGGAAGGTGTCTATTGTTATGGTTGAGAAGATTCCCCTTAAATTTCCTTCCCTAGTAACTAATTCAAAGGGACAGGAAGTGGTTGGGGATCGCACTGTCGGTGATACACTGACTTTTTTTTTTTTTTTTTTTTTTTCTTGTGTTTAGGAGTTAGAAAATGTGAAGCCTCTATTGCTGTCTGTCCCCTTTTTTCTTGTTCATTTAATACAGGGGGATCCAACCTGTGGCACACAACAGCTGTAAAATGTGACCCAACACAATCTTCAACGTATTTTAAAATGTCGATTGTGTTTGTAAAATGCTTTTACACTTAGCGAATACATGCAGCTGAAAAGAAAATTTGAGTGTCTTCACTGAACTATTTTAAAAGTTATCTTCCCAAATAAAAATATCACACTCTTCAGTCACGCCTTATTCCTGTCATTACTTTGCGGCAGCACTTATATTTGGGAGCAACTATGTTCATGGATGAAGTATACAGAGGGCAAAATTAGAACCGAAATATCTGATGAGCACCTTGCTAATTGAGTATTGCTACTACATCCATACCAGATATTGATGCACTAGTTTTATCAAAAACAGTGTAAAATATCACACTAGTTTTTTGGAGGGGGTTTGCCATTTTTTTTACCGTTTTTATAATAAATATTACAATAAAAGTTTTATTACTCAAATAAGTACACTATTAGTGATCATTAACGTGAATTTTTTTTCCCGCTCATCCACTATCCTTATTGTTAGTGTACTTTGTGTGGCCCAAGATTTCCTCTTCTTACAATGTGGCCCAGGAAAGTCAAAAGGTTGAACACACATGGATAATAAGTGAGTGGTGTTTTCAATTGAGATGTGAACAGTTAAAAAATTGGAAAAAAATTCATACCCTTTTGCTGGGCTTTAAACCGCTTTGACATTCTTTTTGATATGTCACAGCCTCATCAATATTTATATTGCTATAATCCCATAACCATTTACCAATCCAATAGATCAGTCATAGAAACACACTTGGCAAAAAGCTATTTAATGTTCTAGTACTGATTGTAGGCGGAAACTGGATTAGGGTGTATGCACACTTGTGAATGCATCCTGTTTGTGATCAGTTGCGAGATCCCCAGTGGAGGGTTCCCACACTTGACTGCGAGTAAGCAGCCCCATTGAAAGCAATGGGAGGCTACCGGCTCTTGCAGCTAATCGCACCCACTCCATATGTAATCCTGCAACAATCACATTTTTGATTCCTGCTTGAGCGATTGCATGTAAGTGGGGATGATTAGCTGCAAGAACTGGCAGCCTCCCATTGCTTTCAATGGAGCTGCCTACTCGCATTTATTTGCAGGAACCCCTACCAGGGTTCTCAGAGATAATCGCGCAAATGCACCCTGTGTAAGTCAGAATGCACCCTTAACTGAAGATGTCGCTGGTTGGATCTTGGGATTCTAGTACTGAATGGCAGAACTACCAACTGTTGAGCTGCGGTTTTATCCACTCTGTTTTATTCATCTAGGTAAATACTGTAGAATATTATCCCTTTCTTGAATGCCTTAATACATTACAAGAGAATAATATGGTTTCAATAAAGGATCTTATTTCTTTTTTGTAGAGCTTGGCAGAAATTATCTTGATTTCATGTGAAAATGATCTTCATCTTTGCAGAGAGTATTTTTCTGGTAGTATAGGTAAATACTATCCTTTTCTGTATTTTAGCATGATTGTTTGTTTCTTATTGATCTTTTATGAGGTCTGGTGATTATTGTTCCTATTTCTTATAGATGTTCATAATGCGGAATTTGTCCTCACTGGAGTTCTGACACAGACGTTGGATTATGAGTCATATCCTTATAAAATGTGAATATGTGGCTAAAGCCCATCTACTGGAAAAAAATAAATCTTACTGCTTAAGTTTCTTTTTCTTGCCTTGTCTGCTCGCTAGTCCTGGAGGACCAGTGACACAGGTATGCTTGTGGGGTACCCAACAGGCCCTTTATTTGTAATCACAGATGAGACTCTTCTGGTTCCCGATGGGACCCCATCTCCTGTAAACAGACGGCGAGAAGACTCAAGACTGGAGTATCACAGCATAATGGAATTGGGTGAAAAAAAAAGGGCATTTAGATAGGATTTTTTTTTTCACCCAATGCCAACGATTTGGGGGGGGGGGGGGTGATTAACCACTTGCCTACTGGGCCAACTCTGACATTTCTCTCCTACATGTAAAAATCTTTTTTTTCCCCCATAGAATATATATATATATATATATATATATATATATATATATATATATATATATATACTTAGAACCCCCAAACATTATATATATATTTTTTTTTTAAGCCAAGGCGCTAGGGCAGGGGTACCCAAACTTTCTAAGCAAAGGGCCAGCTGTTGACGTTCACGGTGATACCTCACGTGTGGTGCGATGACTGTTTACATATGCGTGGGGGAGTGGGGTGTGCATTAGGCTTTGCCTGAATTTTACACTCTACATTTTTTTTTGGATCACTTTTTTTTGCTATCACAAGAGATGAATAACATCCTTTGTGACAGCTTGGACCATGACATGTCCTTTTTATAGAGAGATATGGGGTCCCATATCTCTCCTTTGGCCTCCAATGCAGCAGATCAAACCAAGATCGGTTTCATTGCTGCTTCAGAAGGCTGTACCTGTTTGTAAACCGACAAACCAGAAGTGATGATATCCTCGTCGCTTTTGATTTCTGACACAGTGGAAAAAACATCATCAGTTACTCCCACTGTCTGGGGAGGTTGATGCCACCTGTTGTATCTTTACTGGGCTCCTCGATCGGACAGGAGAGCCCGGTAAAGGCAACTGGAGTGGGGTGGGACCCCCTTCTGCTGCCTGTAAAAGTGATCCGGTGGCTGCATAGCTGCTTGGATTACTTTTACAAAACAGTATCACTGACCTTAAAAGTTTCCAGTCAGTTAAGTTAACCACTTGCCCTCCTGAAGATTTACCCCCCCTTCCTGACCAGGCCATTTTTTGCGTTACGGTGCTGCGTTATTTTAACTGACAATTGTGGGGTCATGCAACACTGCACCCAAATTAAATTTACATCCTTTTTTCCCACAAATTGAGCATTCTTTCAGTGGTATTTGATCACCTGTGCGCTGTAAGCAAAAAAAGACCGACAATTTTGAGAGAAAAAAAAAACAATATTTTGGACTTTTTGCAATTAAACATGTCCAGTAAAAACATGTTAAAAATCAAATTTCGTCATAAATTTAGGCCAAAATGTATTCTGCTACATGTCTTTGCTGAAAAAAAAATCCTAATACGTGTAAATTAATTGGTTTACGTGTATAGCGTTTACAAATGGCGGTATTGATAATGGAATATTTTTTTTTTCCTACTAGTAATGGCGGCGATCAGCGACTTTTAACCTGACTGCGGTGGATATTCTGACACTTGGGGGGAACTAACACCCCAGTGACACCAATACAGTGATCAGTGCAAAAAAAAAAAAAAAAAAGCACTGACTGTACTAATAACACTGGGCAGGAAGGGGTTAATGTATACACGTGATCCTGCGCACAGGTGCCGCCCTGTAGCAGTTTATCTGCTATAGGATGGTCCTTAAGCGGTTAATCAGTGGGTGCTTTGAGTAGTACATGGTAACGTGTAGCAGTTGAGGGGTTATCTGTTAGGCTGAGATCCCTACCTGGCAAATGTAGGGTTAAGTTTGTGCAGCTGCTCATCTCCTGCTCTCCTATGCTTGTATCCCCCCCCCCCCCCCCCCCCCCCCGCCCACATGTGTCCCGGGAATTGGCACTGTAATAATGATGACTGATGTCTATCTCCCTGCGTTAAGGTCACAGTTCCTTCTGAATTTGCTAGCTGTGAATAGTCGCAGTACAAAAAATTGTCCAGAGCAGGAAGGGGTAAAAGTGCTCAGTACTGAGGTGGTTAATTAGCAAGGTGTGAAAGCTTTGCTGATTGCAGGGCTATAGGTCTGGGTTGTGGCCTCGCTTATTAGTGAGGATGGTAAGTAAACATACTACATAGAAGAGTGGACCAGAGCTATCACTAATGAAAGGCACTTGCTTTTTTTTTTTTTATATTGGGATGCTCTGGTTTTTAGGGGTTCCAATTTGTTCTGCAGGACATCAGGAATCTGCTGTTCATTGTAACCTGCAGATTACTTTATATTATAAGGTTCACTTTTGTAATTTGGCAATAGCTTACCTGCCCTGCATGGTTATCGAAAAAAGGCAAATGTGCCAATGACACATCATTTCTACAGTGGGAATCGGGCAGATGTAGCGCTAATGTTACATCATTTTTATAAAATGAAAATCTTGGGCCAAGGCAGAGGTTACAACAACATACAGAGGCAGAGGTCAGATATGTTAGGAGGTAGATATGCAACACTTCAGAAGTAATTGCAGTCTCAGGTTTTAGAAATATTAAAGTGGTTACGCATCCAGATTCCCCCAGCCCCCCCCCTTATCCATACCTGAACACGATCTTGATCTATCAATGTCCACTAGAGCAGTTCTCTCCCCTCCTCATTGGCTTCTCAATCACAGCAAGTGAGTGGGGGGTGGGGCAAAGTCATGTTCATTGGTCGCACAGTGATCATGCACAAGTGCCCCCATAGCAAGCGGTTTGCTATGGGGGCACTTGGCCTGGAAAGGGAGGGTGGAGTTAGCACAGAACAGGTAAGTATGTTACATGTTTGTTATTTTAAGAAAAAAATTGAGCATTTACAATCCCTTTTTAAGCTGACCATAGAGATCATATGCCCTCCCTTAAGATTGGGTTTCCCATGATTAGCTGCGAGTAATATAACTTAGCGAATGGGGTACTGATAGAATGAAGAAAAGGAAATATTTATAGTCAGTTAGCAGACATTGTTTTGGAAGAACAAAAACTGATATTGTTTTTTATGAAGATCTGTTCCTGTTATCAGGATATTAAATTTGTTTTTTTTCTGTCCTCGTAACCCAATTCTTGCCTTTTGCCCTGGCACAGCTACATCATAAGTGGACCCATAGCTGAGGTCAGAATCTGTTCATATTTTCAATAAATATTGTTGTCTTGTTGCGCTGTTTTCCTTAACCAGCACACATATAAATTTACATAAATGTTTATAACTACACAAGGACCCATGGACCTTTTGGATGCCGCAGTGTTATCGGTCATGCTGAAAGGCCATGAAATGTCTCACTGTCTTCATGTAAAGATTTCCTTGATGGCTGTTCCTCGGTGAACAAGGAAGAAGTTTATCTGCATCTTTTCTTAGGATGTGAATTTTCTTAAAAGGAAACATAAATAATTATGTTTGTATTATAATATGGTTTTAAAGCCCGTCTAAGGGTTTAATAAAATTCTTTTCATGTTTTGTTTGTACTGTAAAATAATGAAGGTACTTAAACTATTTTTGTCAAAAGAAGAGGCAATTGTTTGTTAAATAAGTGGGGAAAATAAACCTTTTGTATTATTTTATATTTCTAAACCAGAGTTCATTTTTATATTGCTGTTTTCAAAATTTCTATTAAATGTGCTTTGGTTGTATGATTTGTGTATCTGAGGTATTTTTTTGTTTAATCTCTTTAGAAAAAGGAAGAGTTAGAAGACTAGTGCTGTGGAAGTTGTACACTAAAAATTAAGCAGAAGGCAAAGGACTAGTCACCAGTATTTTGCAAATAAAGTGTTGCACTATATACATGCAAAAACTACAGAAACCAATAAACATAAATGTGAAATCACAAAAAATAAATATCTTGTGAAAAAGTCCATGTGCAATAAGGTTGTGCAGGTGAAGATATTCAAACTCTCCTTCCTTCAAATCAGTAAGTAATCAAGGCATTCTCACCATCTCTTGAAAAGAATCTGCACCTCAGAAATTAGGATATGCACTTACCAAAAGTAGGTGACCTTCTAGCCAAAGAAAAATCAAACAAACTGGTGATAAAAGATCATCCAGAACATGCAACTTCCATTGGTGACTGCTTTCTTATCAAATGACACATCACATCTCACCTCCGTTCCATAATCAGGAGAACATAAGAGAAACAAATGTACCACATAGCATAAAACTCTTAAACATTTATAAAGCTTTAAAACCGCACTCACAAAGTATAAAAATCAGATGTGCATGAAGAAAAGCTCCCAGTCTGCATGTATAGCGGTTTTACCGGTTTACGTGATGATGTCGGCATGCTACTTCACCCTTTTTCACGAGGATATATTTAATGTTTTTGTGATTTCACGTTTAATGGTTTCTGTAGTTTAAATGTGTATATAGCACAATACTCTTATTTGCATGTTATTTTACTATGATATCTCTGTGTTTGCAGCTGAAATTCATGGTAATTTTGTTTTTGGTACACAAGTGCAGTTTTCTTGTACATTACCCCTACCCTATTCTGTGAGGCCTCAGTTTTTTGCTAGTGTCCTTGGGTCATGGAACAGTTTTCCTTTATGGACTAGTTTCTCTGCTTAACTAGTTCTTATATACAGGTGAAACTCGAAAAATTAGAATATCTTGCAAAAGTTCATTTATTTCAGTAATGCAACTTAAAAGGTGAAACTAATATATGAGATAGACTCATTACATGCAAAGCAAGATAGTTCAAGCCGTGATTTGTCATCATTGTGATGATTATGGCTTACAGCTCATGCAAACCCCAAATCCACCTGCAGTACCTTTTGTCTTCTGTGTTGTTTTTTTTTCCCCCCACCCTTTCTTTTATTGCTACTTAAGTCCCTTAAGTATACTGAAATGGGATGAGCCAGGTATACAGATTTTGTTTGACACTGTGGGGGTTATTTACTAAAACTACAGTGCAAAATCTGGTGCAACTCTGCATAGAAACCAATCAGCTTCCATGTTTTATTGCCAAAGCTTAATCGAACAAGCTGAAGTTAGAAGATTTAGTAAATCTATCCCTTTTATCTTAATTTTCCTTTCCTAGTTCTCTGTCATGTCAGCATAATTTCCTTTACCGATATTCATTGTACAGTAAGTCTTGATATGGAACACATGGGGGAGAGGGAATGCAGGGGACTTTATTATTTACAGAGTGGTGACCTGAGGGAACAATGGGCCATAGGTATGATGACATTAGAGTGAGCCAGGAAAGCATTATTATGTATGGTATGTGCCAATGGGATTCCGTATTCTAACCCCTTCATTCTTCTGAGGGTTCCTTGTCTAGGAGGATAGTGCAAAATCCAGCTGCACAAATGTGTGTGTATATATATGTATGTGTATGTATATATATATATATTATACACACATACAGTGCTCAGCATAAATGAGTAAACCCCAACAGATTTGTCAGAAAACCTTTACTTTTCTTTCAGAAATGTTTTCTATGGGACATATTCTCCAAAATACTCCCACAAATGCGGGCCATTGATTGTAAACAAGATTTGTTGTTTTGCACACACAAAGTATTTTTTCTAACAAATTCATTCAAGACCATGTTGAAAAAATGAATACACCCCAATGAAAGTCTTAGGAGCAAGTCTAATTATTCATTAAACAGGTGTCCAGCAGACAGTTGATTATGAAAGGGCGTTACTTAACAAGGAAAACCCCTTCCCATTTCATGCTGTCAGCAATGGCACTTCATGGAAGAGAATGTCACAAGGCCTGAGAAAGAAAATAATTTCTTTACAAAAGAAAGGTGAAGGCTACAAGAAGATCAGCAAAGCTTTACTTAACTGTAATACTGTTTTGTTACTAATACTGTAACAAAAGTGATACAAAGATTTATCAAAGATGGAACTGCCACCATGTCACAGAGATGTCCAGGCTGGCCAAGGACGTTAACACCTCAACAGGAGCGTCTTCTGATGAGAAGGGTTGAAGAAAATCACCATGCAAGTTCACTGCAGTTAGCTAAAGAAGTAGAAAGCCAAACGGGTGATTGTTTCCCGTGATACAATACGGCGTACACTGCAGAGGAATGGCATCCATGGGTGTCGTCCATGAAGGAAGCCTCTCCTAAAACCCATGCACAAAAAAGCCCACCTAGAATTGCCAGAGCCCATGCTGAAAAAGACTACTAGGACTCTACTCTGGAGTGACGAGACCAAAATACATTTTTTTTTTGGAACTGATGGCTTCAATACTGTATGGTATCACAAAGATGAGGAGTACAAAGAAAAATGCATGGTGCCTACATTGAAACGTGGTGGCAGTGTCATTCTGTGGGGTTGCATTTCATTGATGGTATCATGAATTCACAGATGTACTGCTCTATATTGACAGAGAAGATGTTACCATCACTCCGTGCTCTTGGTCGTCGTGCACTTTTCCAACAGGACAATGATCTGAAACACTCATCCAAGAACACTGTTGCATTTCGTAAGAAGAACAGGATGAAAGTAATTCAGTGGCCAAGTATGTCTCCTGATCTGAACCCAATCAAACACCTATGGGGAATTCTGAAGAGACAAGTTGAGCATCACTCTCCATCCAGCATCCAGGCTCTAAAAAATGTTCTTGAAGAATGGAAAAAGATAGATGATTTTTTTACCAACTTGTTCATTCCATACCTAGAAGACTTGGTGCTGTCCTTACGAATCATGGAGGTCATACAAAATACTAGATGGAGTAGTTTTTGTTGTGGGGGGTGAATTTATTTTTGCATTAACTAATTTGAGTAAAACTGAAGATTTTGTAATCTAAGTTATGTTATTAACCTTACTTTCATGTAATGAGCTAAACAAATGTTCTATAAAACTCAGTTTTGTCAAAATTTTGGAAATTGTTCTTGTCTTCATTGAGATATTGATTAAAATCTTACTTTTCAAAAGGGGTGTACTCGTCTATGCTGAGCACTGTATGTATATATTCACTTACCTGCCACTTTACTAGCTAGACCTGTTCAGTTGCTTGGCAACACAAATTGCTAATCAGCCAATCGCATGGCAGCAACTCAATACATTTAGGCATCTAGACGTGGTGAAGACGACTTGCTGAAGTTCAAACCGAGCATCAGCATGGGGTGGAAAGGGGATTTAAATGAGTTTGAACATGGTATGGTTATTGGTGCCAGATGGGTCGGTCTGAGTATTTCAAAAACTGCTGATCTACTGGCAGGTTTGATGCTACCAATAAGCGAACTAGGCAGCCACCTAGGGCGCAGACACGGCCGCTGGTTTCCAAACTTTCCTGCTTGCTGAGAATTGTATCATAGACTGTTTTTTTTACCTGTTCACTTTGCTTTTTCTACTTTATTTGAGATGTTGCCAAAAATGTCATGCTGGTATCTGTAGTCCACCTAGCTGCTGCTGTGCCCATAAGCATTGGGATACAGCAGTGTGTTTCCAGGCAGGGCCAGTGCTAGACTATTTGTGCCGTAGGCAAGACCAGCTACTTTCTCCCCCCATATCGGCAAATGCAACCTGTGCAGGGAGAACTGAGAGGAAGTGATATTGCACAGCATGTTTCATCTCCCACTGAAAGAATGAGGCTGCAGGCGCAGATTAATCATTTAGCGGCAGGGCACATGAATGACTGAATGGCCGGGGGTCATTCTGGCCCTCATTCAGGGGGAAATGTAAACACTCAATGTATAATCCTCAGCGGCAGCACTGAATGTACACATCTCAAGCCATACAGACCTAAGTTCCTTTACGTGATGTGAGTTCAGAAGCAGTACAGACCACTTACTGCTGACAGTATAAATATATGGCTGTATAAATCTTATATAGCCGTGTACATAAGCCCCTTGTGTCACATATTGTCTTTTTATTATGTTATATGGCTATTAATAGCAGATCACTAATAATATAACATAGAAATAATAATCACTGAACCCTCTACAGCAAACACAATCATTCCGCGCAACACAGACAATTCAGCTTCTAAACACAGAGGTGCCAATTTCTTGCCAATATGACATTAAAGGACCATTCTCAATAATCAAATAATTTTGTGAATGTAGACAACTCCAATACAACTGATTCTGACAGATTTAAAATGTAGATTGGAGCGATGGTAAGGAGTGGTGTCTACAGCCTGCTTCCTCCAGCACCACAATTAGAATCTTAGAGATTTTCAGAAATTATTTTGATAGTGGTGATGAGATTTTAGGATCAGTGACATTGATTAACCAGTTTATAATTGGCAGGTGAAGCCATGTCAGAGATGAGGATGGGGGTTGGGGTGCAGTACCAGGATTGATTGGTGGGAGATTTGCGATCATTTCTATGGCAATGGGTGGAATCATTGTAAGCAGACGGAGATTGGCAGTGCCCAGTGCAGGTGGCATTGGATGGGGAGGCTCCGGGCGATGACATCACCCACTCCCCCACCCTAACTATGGAAGGGAAAGTGGAAGTCGGTGATCTCCATGGATTAGCCTGCAGAGGGCCCCTGCTGGCACCACCACCTCCCAGCACCAGAAGGGGGATGGGATCTGGAAAGCAGAAGTGTGGGGAGGGTCTTCAGCCTCACTGTGCACCTATCGGTGGGCATAGGGCCGAGAAGTAGCAGGGATCACACCCAATCCCCAGAGAGGGTGGACGGAGATCAGCAGGCACTGCAGACACCTGATCCTTAACACTGGGCACTGTGCTCCTATAGGATATATATTTTTACACACAGTACTGAACAAAAGTCTTAGGCAGATGTGAAAAATGCTGTAAATTAATAATACTTTCAGAAGTAGAAGTGTTAATAGTTTATTTTATCAATTAACAAAATGGAAAGTAAAAACCTAAAGAAAAATACACATCAAAACAACATTTTGCCTTCAAAACCGCATCAATTCTTCTAGATACACTTGCACGCAGTTCTTGAACTGTTCTTGAATTTGGCATGTCGGTTGTTCTAAACATCTTGGAGAACTAACCACAGATCTTCTGCGGATGTCAGCTGCCTCAAAGCCTTCTGTCTCTTCATGTATTCCCAGATAAACTCCATGATGTTGAGATCAGGGCTCTGTGGGGGGCCAAACCATCATTTTCAGGACTCCTTGTTCTTCCTTATGCTGAAGATAGTTCTTTATAAGATTGACAGTGTGTTTGGGGTCATTGTCCTGCTTAAGAATAAATTTGGGGCCAATCACACTCCTCCCTGATGGTATGGCATAATGGATAAGTATCTGTCTGCATCTCTCAGCAATGAGGACACCACTGATCCTGACTAAATCTTCAACTCCATTTGCAGAAATGCGGCTGCAGACTTGCAAGGAACCTCCACCATGCTTCAATGTTGCCTGCAGACACTTATTATTGTAAGTCTCTCCAACCCTTCGCAAACAAACTGCCTTCTGCTACAGCCAAATATTTCAGATTCTGACTCATCAGTCCGGAGCACCTGCTGCCATTTTTCTACACCCCAGTTCCTATGATTTCATGCATAGTTGAGTCACTTAGTCTTGTTTCCATGTCCTATGCATGAAAATATAGGATCTAGGAAATAATTCGGATTTCTCTTCTGTTCATTTACAGTACTTTGTTTTGTTAATTGATAAAAATAAAACTATGAACATGTCTATTTCTTAAAGCATTGTTCATTTACAAATTTTTTTTTACACCTTCCTAAGACTTTTGCACAGGACAGTCTTTGTATACAGTATATATGTTATCTGTGGAATCCCTGTTGTGTATTTTAACCACTGCCCACAAGCTGTTATTTCTCCTCTGTTAATGAGTTCAGAACTGTGTGCACTTTTGTGTAATTTACCTTGCCAAGTGTTCCTATTCCTGGAACACATTCAGACTCATTCTTGTTGAGAGCCACTTTCAAGAAAATAGATGTAGATTTTGTAGAGTCTATCTTTGAAATTGCCAATTCCACCTTTGAAATTGATCGCGGGTAATGCTGTGTGGAGTGCTTGCGTAGTTATCCAAGGGGGAATTTAACTATTCCCTCACTTAAATATTTACACAGTCTACTCTATATATACATTGCATTTTTATTGGTAACATAGGATTACCTAATGAGAAATGTTCCCTTACGTAGATTGGGAAAAAATATATAGTTACGTGTTAGAAGAGAAGAAAGTGTCCCCAGTGATATCCTTGGGAACACTGCGCTCTAGGCTATGGTATCTTCAAAGCAGCAGCCAATAGTAATGTGTTTATCTTTTTGTTCTTGAGTACGAGGTAACCCCCGGATTTTCATTTAGTGCAGAAAGAAATTCAGTGCCTAAAAAGGGCTTATCGCTTAAGCTATCAACTTTTCAAATAAAAAAAATCTTACCTATTGCATCTGCTTGTTAATGGGTAAAAATTGAGTTCCTTAGTTGAGTTCACTCAAGGAGTGCCAAAGTGCATCTAGCACATCTGTGATTTTGGGAGGCATTCCACCTAATTTGCAAGTCCATTAGTTGCACTACCTTGTTCAACAAGTCTTCTGAGTCAAACGTATAGCTCATGCTCTCCTATGCCAACAACCATGCAAATGCCTTCTATGGATAACTGACACTATAGTGAGTATATTGCTGCATTAGCGGCTGTAATGGGAGAGTCGGGTTATCTTTCTCATGTATGGTTTTTGGAAGAGATGCTGAGAAATTAGGTGACACCTTGGAAATCACTGGATCTCTTGTAGCACAGACTGTTGTCTCCCTAGGCCAGGGGTAGGCAACATGCGGCTCTCCGGCTGTTGCAGGACTATAAGTTCCATCATGCCTCTGCAAGTCATAGCTGTAACTGTCAGTTTTGTAATGTTGCAGTGAATCATGGGAAATATAGTTCCACAACAGCTAGTGAGCCGCAGGTTGCCTACCCCTGCCCTAGGCTAATATATTGTACAATGATCAGCCATTTATTTATGACCACTGACATGTTACATGAATAACTTTGATTATTTTTTGTTACAATGGTATTTGAAAGTAGGTGGAATAATATTAGGCAGCAAATATTATTATTATTATTATTATACAGTATTTAGCGCCAAAAGGTTTACTCAGCGCTGTACATTAAAGTGGGGGGACAGTACATGAGACAGTACAGTAACAATACAATACACAAGGGGTTCGAGGGCCCTGCTCTTTCGAGCTTACAATCTAGGAACAAATAAACATGTTGTCCATGAAGTTGAAGTGTTTAAAGCAGAAAAAAAAAAAATG